GCTGTTTTTCTTGTCCCTGCACAAGTCTTCTGCCTGAAAGCACTGAGTCTGGTAATTGGGATTTCTTCTTGTCCTAGGCGACTATGTAATTTGAAGTCACTAGACATCTTTGCCAATGTTTCACACTGAAAAAGTGAGACTCCAAACAACAATGTCCGCTTAGCAGCTCTTTCCCAGGGAGGAATTTTGGCCGAACGACGGGAGCCAGTAAAGAACTGGAACGACGTACCTGACAGATGCGGGCACATGTTAAGGAACGCTTTGTGACTAAAAACGTGGAACTCTCAATTACAAGTGGAAAGTAGCGACGCTATCGAAACTTGGGAAAACTTTGGTGGGAGCTTAAAAAGACTTTCTTGTGTCGGTTTTCTGTGGAATCAGGAATATTTTTTACTACACGTCGAGGGAAGATTTTTGAAGAATTCAGAGTGGCCTACTTTCCGCTTACAACTAGAAAATCGAGCGATTGTACATAGGCTCACCCTACCTACAAAATATATAGGGAAGGACAGATGCTTCCACACGTCGGCTGGCCATCGCAAGTCATTGTATGGGCTACATACGCATGCAAACACCACTGCAATTCTGAATGGAAGTCGAGTGCGCGGGAGCATCTTAAAAACGTATTCCAGCAAACTGAAAAGGTTCCACTAGCTTTTTCTAACAGCCTTGTTTGCTTCATATGGTCAACAACCCTAACATGGGTCAATGACCCTCTATGGTGAATTGTACTTTTTGCAAATGCATGGAAATAGGGCGGCTGGGAGGGTCAGGTTTGTCGATGAGAACCTGCACGATAATGTTTGCTGAGTGATTCGCGCTTCAGTTGTCCTTCTCATTGAGACGAGCGACTCAAGCAGCAACTGCTCGCAGCGCTGAGAGGGACCCACATACCCTGTGGGGGAAGGGGGCAGGTGCGCTTTGAGGGAGGGGAAACAACGGGAATCGTTTCCAACGCTGACAGCGGCGCAGTTCTCACATATACAAACATCTATTGGACAAATAGACTGCACGAATTTGACACCACCCAGGGCTTTCACACCCGTACTGAACAGAACAGAGTCCTTACGAGGGGATCATCACTCCGACTGGCACGCTTCTCTAAACCGGCGAAANNAAAAAATAGTAAACTCTCAATTCATTTAAAGACGAAAAATCCCCAAATTTTCAAGCTTCCATTTATGACTCCCTGAACTTCCGTCATTTTGACCACTTTCGAAATTATTGGGCTCGTTCACATGGTTTCGCCTCTTTTTACTATTTCCTCAGCTATAACATTGGGTAGAGGGATAACCAATAAAAGAGTGATGACCGATCTCGTTTTCGGATGCGCGCATGCATTCGACTTCCTTTCAAAATCGTTGGATTGTAAATAAGCTTAGATATCTCTCTCTAGATATTGAACTGCTTGGGTAACCGATAGAGTATTGGGTGTTCTCACCCTCTTAGATGAGTTGGTGCTGAAGAATTGATATGAAAGAGTAGGAAGGAATTGAAGACTTCATGATTTGAACGAATACTGATCCAGGATGCAGTCCATTAATTACAGCTGTGGTATGACTCCATTTAAGACTAACCCAAGTGCAGCTCTTGTTATAGTCCGAATATGAAATCCTGATTCGAATCCCTCCCACGACTACTAAGTTTCAAATAACTTGATTGATACCTCAGATATCTAATCCATCTCAAAAAATGGATAATCTTATCTGCAAAGTGGCTCAACCACACTGTGACATTTGCACGGCAGTCGAAAGCATGGCGTAGCGCAACCCGGAACGATTGAAACGACGACCTTTGCTGTTGCTTTTTAGTACTAATTCGTTTTTCGTTCGTCCTATTTAGCCAGGGTCATCCAATTTACTGTAAATAAAAAGAAACACCTAAAGCGAAAAGGTAAGTAGCTCTGCCACTTCGGTATAAGCTATGCACACGAGATTGCCATGAAATTGGGTTACTTACTTTGTGGTTTTCGAAACTCTTGGCGTAGACCCAATAAGATATATATAGCTACAACTGGTTAATTCGAAAGTGATAAAAAACTTTACCCTCAGTCAAAACCTGCATAGGATTTGATCTGATAGAGGGTTCAAGTGCAATGTAGCGCTCCTATCCTTTACACCACTACCGGATTTTCACTAAAATATAGCAGAAGCCTCCGTCTTATTTAAGTCGAATCTGCTCAAATTTTCATTCTTGCAAACAAACTTTCCAACCAACATCTAACTGAAAGTAAATATTCTCCTGTAATCCGAGATGTCTTCGATACT